CCGATTCGCATATTTTTTGACCATTTTCATCTGGCAAGTTGAGACTCATTGCAGTGACGGGCACAATATCGAAGGTCCCGGGTTCGAACCTACGAGGAGCAGCAGTCGTGGATGAGCACTGCTGATGAGTCTCATACCAGGACGAAACGGCCATTCAGTGCTTCCAGGTTTCTAATGGTGGTCTAACAAAGATTGATTGATGATTTCAAATGTGTAAAAACACAAACCTCCAAAACTCTAACTGAAAATGAAATAGCGATTTTCCATTTTAAGAATCTTAAGCTGTCTACATGTCTTCTACCAGCAAAACATTACAGATCTTCATAACTCACCGGAAATAAATAGTTCCTAAAAGTAGCTGAAAGTTAAAGCAATAATTGAAATCCTCTCTGCCTACACATTTAACGCCATCTGGAGCACCTCTAGGGCTACTGCCGGTCCTAAGCCTGGATAAAAGAAGACGGTTGGACATGGAGTTGGTGACTTCGTCCCTTTAGAAAACTAACTCGCTCAAAAACGCTAACCATTAGAAGTATTTCAAACTATTAAGACTCAGCTCTGAGAATTAGCCCTCCATTTATACGAGTTATGACGCTCATGATGAAAGCCAATTTCTTTCGGGAATCATGGAGTCGATACCCTTTCTGATAACCAGAGCCGTTCCATGGTGTGGGCAGCTGAGAAGTAACATCCGCACTCATAACGGTAACAGCACACGACACCGAATAGGTCATAATCAAATCATTAGCTTACCCATTTAAAAAATGGTTCAATTCACGAAAGTGATTCATACTTGATCTATTTTGGAAATTCAAGAACAGTTACGCCACAAATTCATTGGCAAGTATCTCATCCCTAATTCACACCTGCTAAAAGATTTTCGTCGAAGGTGTCGAGCAATCATTTGCATATTTTGTTTAGTCAGAGTTTTCTTTACTTTGAAATTATTGCTATCCTAATCATGTTTATGCGTCCTAGTAACCAATCGGATTCAACCAAATGGCTGCTCATCAAAATCGTGTTGGGCTTTCTTCCTCCTTTTTCCGAAAATGAATAAACATTGTGACTCTTTTGACTGGGAGTACAATTAGGTATGGTAAATATGTACAATAAGTCGCGATCGTTCTTCCTAGTATGTGTACTAATATGTTGAGCCCACATGGCTTGTCCCGACTTTTGGACAAATGGATTAATTAACCTTTTCTGAACAAGTTACTATTCGCACGTCTTTTTACCTTGTCAATCATTTGCGCATAACTTAGTTGTTTCTTCTTGAGTGTGTGTGTGCATTGCTTATTTTCCTTATCACATGTCTACCTTGTTTTCTGTGACTATAAATAGCTAGTTACTCCTTGTCACATGTTTGTCTGCGTAAACGATTGCTTGAAATGAACCCGTATTTGGCTTTTTGTAAACGCCGTCTAACAAACATGGTTTTCTTGAGCATGTCATAGCCCATTCGATTGCTCGTCCAAATTGGGGTCAGATCCTGGGTCACTAAATACTCATCAACCTCAGTTCAATCTGTCAAAGCAACAAGAGATATTTATTCATTGTACTTTTACTTTTTTACTTTCGCCTGTTACCCCCAGTGAAGCAAAAGCCACCGACTAGCATTCTCTAACCTACTCTTTCCCAAGCCTTCCTTTCTAGTTCTGTCCAAATGTTGTTCATTCTTACCACAGCTGTCAGTAATTCAGTTATGTGTTTTTTGGTCTACCTGTTTTCTATTGGCCTTGAGTATGCCAGGTGATTGCTTGTCTTGAGACGCAGTTGGGTGCCTTCTTCAATGTGTGTCTTATTCATCTCTAGCTCTTCATCTTGATTTCTTTCTCCACTGGGATCTGATTTGTTCTCTCGCACAGTAGTAATCACATGATCATTTTGATTGCTATGGACAAAACTACCTTCCAGTGCTCAAATGTTTCTGAAGTTGGTCTGACATTGATTGTCGATTCACCATCTCAATGAAACTCAACAATCTGCACAACCTTTAAATGACAAATATTGATGCATGCATAAAACTCTATTCTTTTCAATTCCTAGACATTTGAAATAAATTAATAATTACCGATGAATAATTTATAGTTGTAACTAACTACCTAATTAGATTATTTTGACAACCTGTAAAGAAAATTAGACAACCAACCTCCTCTATTTCGGTACAAATGAAATAATTCACTTAATTGTACGATAAAATAAATTAGAAAATATACAAAGTTTCAGTTTTGAATTCTCATAACTACTATTATCTAGATTTGATTCGGTTAATCGGTGAAATTTCTAGAAACTAGAGAAATTAGTTATCGGCTCAAGTAGGCAATTAACTTATTTCATCGTTATTAATATACAACACAAACACTGACTTTGAAATAAATGTTTTTTTTCTCAATAATATGTACTACATGTTCTGTCACATTTATCCACGCAAAATACTTCGAATCCGTTGGTCAGACACCATCAGTGACAACCTACTATGAGAGAGAACAAATCAGGTTACAGTAGAGGAAGATATCAAGGAGAAGAGCTGAATGTGAATAGGAAACAAATTGAGGAAAGCAATCAACTGTACGACAAGACAAGCAATCAGCTGGGATCCTCAAGGCAAACGGAAAAGAGGTAGACCAAAAAACACATTATGCCAAGAGTCGCTGACAGACAAAAGAAGAATGAACAACATTTGTAGAGAACTAGAAAGGAAGGCCTGGTAAAGAGTAGGTTGGAGAATGCTAGTCGGCGGCCTTTGCTCCACAGGAAGTAACAGGCGAAAGTATACAATTTACGTAACATTTTTCCTCAGTTGATATACATATTCGCTGATATCCTCTATTTCTCAAGGAATTCCATCGAATTGCTGACATTAAATGAGATTAAAACTGTTTTTAATTGTGTTGGAAGAATTTCGTTCTCTAAACTGAATCTTTCATTGTTCATCGTAACAAAACAATCAACATAAACGTTAGGTAGAATTGAGGCATTCGAATTTCCATTCATCTGAGCTGACAACTTATTTTTCTTTTTAACATCTTGTCTGTTGTAGTCTGAATATTCATTTTTATTGTCATTTTCATTGTGCTGATTCTTGATCTCATATTTCTCATATTTAACATGACTACGATTAATGTAAAAATTCTCTGCAGTTCGTAATTTACACTCCATCAAAAATTTGAAAACTTTCCTAACTGGAAGTGGTCCTACAGTTCCTAATACATATTGTTGATATAACAGAAAATACATCGGAGTATTGAATATCCTCCGAGTTCCGCAAGATCGTTTGAAGAGATTTTGTTGTTTTAATGTACTACAATTATTCTAAATAGTTTCGATCATGTCGCTATTTTCTGACAGATCATTTATACATGGTAGGATGATCAGTTTATAGACTACTACGTTTGATTTCGTCTTAGATGGAGGATTCGAATTTTTTGGGACGTTAGATCCCCAGAACTCACTTGGAAAAGGTCCTTATTTCGGGTTTTCTGTTTTCGCGCATGTGTTGATCAGTCGATCTTAGGGTTACATTTCTCACATGGAAAATCCTTTACTGTTATTGGTTGATGTATTATTTTAGTAGGCTGTTTTTGTGACTCTATCAAGGACGTTTGTATCATGTATAAATCAACTTGATTTGTGTGCTCGTATTTACTGGGTGCTTGTAGTATAACCTTTCTGCGCCTTATCGAGACTTCTTGATATAGTTGGCCGGGTGTGGGATGAACTTATTAGAATGACGTATCGTGTCACTAGGTCACTACTTCGTCTCGTTTACCGGGTAAGGTGAACTCGTAATATCATTCAAGCATATTAACTGACGACTATGCTTCTTGATTAAGTTAAGTGGATAAACGATCTTTAGTATAATCGCTTTCTCTAAGAAAGTTTGTATGCACTCGACTTTGTGAATTTTCGGGTTATTTCTACCATAGTTAGCAATTCAATAGGTATCGGTAAGCTTGCGAAATAGCTAAACTACCAGTTTTCTTTCGTTAGCTTAGATGACCAATAAATCAACCCACCTAGACAATATCATTATTGAAAAGATGTGCTATCAATCACATGAAAAGAAATTTGAATACTTAGCTTGATGTTGAGCAATACATTGGGTTGATTAAAGTTACAGATTACCATTTATAAAGCCAGCTTTGTAATCCTGGGTTCGACTCCCTCATGTGGAGGTAATTGATAATTACAACTGTACTAGAACGAAACGGTCGTGAGTGTTTGTAGGTTTCTATCGGTGGTCAAACGATGATGGGATCACGAATTCGTTGAAACTTGTGTTGACAATGTTATGGGGAAGGAAAATGAGACTTTCATAACTGAAAAAGTCAGCTCAGAAAATCACATTCCAACAATACCATTCACTTAAGCTACAGATCTCCCTTACTAAGTAAGTTACTGATAAAATTATTTTAGTATATAATGTGTAACATTACGTCCCCCTTACCTTGAGCCATAGTGTATATACATGAAGGTAAGTATTACTACTCACATACATAAATATCAGTTACTGGACTACAAATCACCTTTTAATATGGAATAAAGTCACTAAAGTATCAGCTTGTCTTAGGACGATATGTTCAGCTTTAAACCAAGCTGTTTATATAAAGACTAAATTGCTACAAAAACCTCCATCTCAAATATAGCATCAGTGAAATCGCTTATTACGTTCTTCATTTAACTTAGTATGACACTAATCTGTACGTATCTTGATTGAATATATATATACATCACAAAAACCCATCTCTTATATAAATCAATAAAAGCTCATTTCATCAATAGATATCATAATCATGTATCATAACAACAGGATAATAATAATAATAATAATAATAATAATAATAATAATAATAATAATAATAATAATAGCAATCTTCTCTGTGTTATATAATAATGGATCTTGTTTGCATTAAAGTTATATATATATATATATTGATATTATTCTTCTGTATCAATTATTTTTGTATAAAAAAAAAGAAAAAAAAATTACTCTATTTACATCCGAATGATTAATGAATTGAATAATGAATATTTGTTAATTGTTCATCATCTTCAGCTATATTCATTAAAGTGTAAACCGGTTCATTTGAATACATTCCATTATATCCAATGTCTATGTAGGTATAAGGCAAAATAAACACAACATAAGAATGAAAAGTATGTTTTTTCAAAAAAAAAAACAGTAAACTATTACAAATTACTGTATAAATAACTTTCAAGAAAATTTTCCGTGATATTTTGATCGATTTTTCACTAGAATGTACAAACATGTTCATCCAGTGTGAATTCAATCAGTATAACCATTCTGTCAAAAGTTTATGTAGAATAACAGAAATATAGCGAGCAATTGAATCCTAAATGTGCGTTTCGTTGAATTTTTCACAATTATTTTGAAATTCTGAATCGATCAATGTTAAAGCATCATTAGACACTGATAAGCACTGGACAGCAATTTCGTCCTGGTTTGAGACTCATCAGCAGTGCTTATTATCCACGACTCAAACAACTCTCAGGATCCGAATTCAGAATCTTTGGTTTTTCGTGCCTAACCTGTGGACCACTGAGTCGGTATCTGACGGTGTTAATGTCTAACCGTCGACCAATCCTCGGCCTTGTGCAACCTCATTCACTGTCTGCAGTAAGCACTGCTTCATACCTGAACAGGGTCGAAGTCCACTGGTCACGACTTCTCACTAGAATTCGGAGAAATGTCCTCACAGACGGGGTCATTAGTGAGATCATGACAATCAGTTTACATGATAGGTTTGTGGAGATTGTCAAGTTACTTTTTGACATCATCAACTGATCAATGTTCGACCACTAATTCAGCAGTCGTGGAGGCGTACTACTAATGAGTCCCATGCTAGAACAAAACGGCAGTTTAGTGCTTCCAGTTTTCTAATGTTGTTCTAACATTGATTGATTCATGATTTTAAAAAGTAACCCAACAATCTCCACACCCCTATCATTCCTGCAGTCAGGTATACCTGAATCCCAGAGTTGATGTTCATTCCGAGAGTCGTACCGAGTACTTTACTCAGGATTATGTGTTACATACAATACCGAAGTTAGCTAACGTATTAGGATAATGTACCAGTGAATTCCATAGTAGTTGTTCGTGATTTCCCCTATCTTCCAATCCAATCATGATAAAATGTAAAACGGCTGAGTAACTGACAAAACTGACGTATGAATATTTTGAGAAATGTTTTGGTCAATTAAAAACAAATACTAGACATATGTATTATCATGGATAAAGAATATTTTGATGAGAATGATGGGTATGCTTTAAAAAATAAAATAAAAATAGACCTAGTTATCATATTCAATAGACAGGCTAAAGATTTTCTCATGATAGAACGCTGATAGACATATTGTCGATAGAAAACTGTGATAATGATAGATCATATATCCCATTATCTTCTTTCATCATAACTCAGTGAGTATGACGGACGATAGATCTATCATAGATAGACAGATTCCATTTAATCGAAATGGACTATAAATCATTGGAAAGTAAAAGAAACTATTTGATAGCATGTTAGAAAACAGAACTACAATTGAAAATGAGTAAGAATGAAAGTTTACTTTTTTTCTGATGGGAAATCACTGCATTTTACGTCACATGATTAAAAAATATTGGCTTACAACTAATTTTACATCAAAAGTATGGTACAGTAAATTTCTTGAGACATAAATAGTCATAACATCCACCAGATAAAAAGTGATTTCTTAACATCGAGTTATTGAGATTGTTATTTATTATTGAAATCAAGAATCAACCTTTATCAGAACACCATCAGAAACCCACAAACACTGGACGGTGGTTTCGTACTAGTATGAGACTTATCAGCACTGCATATCCAGGAGCGTCTTTTGTGGGAGTCGAACCCAAGACCTTAGGTCTTGCGCATGATCGCTTAAACTTTAGACTACTCAGCTAAAATCCATCGGTTTACCAGCTAACTTTGATCAATCTAATGTTCCGCTCAACCTTCGTGAAGACATTCTAGGAGTTTTACTAAGGAGACGTGACCATTTGAGTTCGACCATGACAGTTGTAGCCAGTAACTACTGAAGACAATGGGTTAGGTTGCGCGAAATCCATAGATCGATCAGCGTTAGACATTAACACCGTTGGATACCGGTTCCGAGGGTCTCATGTTTAGGTTTCCGCGCCAGTCATCAAATGTCCTGAGTTCGATTTCCGCGAACTGTGATCGTGTATGTGAACTGTTGCAGATCCCTGTACTAGGAAGAAATGGCCATCCAGTAATTGTGGGTTTCTAATGATAGTCTAAACAGTTGTCTACGCAAGACTCTTTAGATCCATTTAACAACATTGTTAGCAACAACCACTTGTGGCGGTGAAGGAACAAGGATACACTGCTGCAATCACCATCATGTATCACAAGACAAGCCTTAACTTCGAATCTTCAAGACTGATGGGAAAGAGATTAACGAAACAACACATAGGAAAAGCCATAATATTTGATATTTGTACAGACATTTGATGATGAATTAGTAAATATTTCATATCATTGAAACAGAGTAAATACAGAATTTCTGAAAACTACACTCTGCGAGTTATGGTGAATGAATACCACGTAAAATTATTACAAGATTATATCACACAAGGATAAAATGAATGTGATACTGTAAAAGAAACGGAAGTGTTGATGGACAAAATCATTGTCAATCAAAACACGATCACATGATTTCATCTCGTCCTAACTGTCATTATCTAACGAACCAACTCTTCACTTTCTCGTTAAGATATAGGCTGTCAATTAGACAATTTTTTTAAACAAGGAGGAACGATCTTATCATTGAAATTAACATCATATGTCTTTGCTATTCTATACATGAACAAAAATATCATCCACTACACCTATCTTTTCTATAATTTGTTCAATAAGTCGTTAAAATGATATCTATGTTGTGCCCGATTGGCAATTAATCGCAAAGTAACAAAATAATCATATTTTAGTAAAACTACGGGCAATCAAACGAAAGATCACAACTAAAAACATTGAAGCACTGAATGGTCTTTTCGTTTTCGCATACAGCTACTAAATAGTGTGCATGCACAACCGAGCAATTAAAGATCAGTTCCATAACATTCGATCTCGTGAAAGAATCCTTAATTGTTAAACTACTAAACCGGCACCCGATGCTGAACAATTCTGATTTCAATCAATCTATGACATTTCAGGACTAAATGCTCTTTTCTTTGATTGCACTTTTCTTTTTATTCCGAATAGCTCTGTGGTAACATTTCTAACTATGAAACTAACTGACACAGAATGAAATCCTAACAGAAACATCATTTCCTCCAAAACGTATGCCTTCTAGATGAGTGACGATAGATCAAAACCCAGAAAGAAGTGGGCTTTCTGTTCTCTACATCCGACTACTACCTTGTGCTACGTAAGGATGCAAGATTAATAGATGAAGTAGTAAAAATTCATCAGTTGAGGTGGTTGGGATCTGTGTTACGTATGCCTAACCACCAACTGCCTCAGCGAGCGATGTATGACTATAATTTGTTGAGATTAGCCTGTTCAGTAACACTATGCCACAAAAAACCCTGCCTGATCTTGCCTTTGAATTGCAGCTTCATTGATTTCACTCAATCATAACTAAGAAGAACTTGATTAGGACGAAATTGGTCACTACCCTATGACCATTCAGTTGTGAAATTGCAGAAGTCGTTTAAGCGTTTCTTTCAATACATCCGTGATTGATTCATTTATGTCATCATCTTAAAAGTGAAGAACTTTCAACTCATTTTGAGATAGTTAGATAATTCGTGTCCGTGCACTGAACCTCAGATTGCTGTAATTCAGACAGTCATTGAAAGCTATGAAACAGATTATATGTCTGTTTCATTCTGGCCTGAGACTTTTTGACAGTACTCATCCTAAATGAGTACCATATTAGTCTTCAACAGTTATTTTCACAGGATTAGTCTGTGAAGTAATCAATGAAACTCCAAACATTTCCTTTCGACGCCGACTCAATGGTCCAGAGGTTAGGCGTTCGCGAGCAAGACCGAAGGTGCTGGGTTCAAATTCTGTGAGTATCAGGAGTCGTTTTTGCGTGCCGTCCAGTGCTTCCAGGTTGTCTAACATTGATCATTTCATGATTTCGAAAAGTAACTCAACAATCTCCACAACCCTTTCAAGCGAATTTACGAAAACACTTCACTACTAGCCATTTAAGCATGAAGACATGCTCGAAGCAGTTTTGATCCAAATTATTTTTAAACCATAACAGTATCGATCGAATTTTTTGTTTCATACTAGATTGGTTTTGTTTACAGACGACTAGTATAAAAGAAGTCAAACGTAATTAAATATTTTTATCATACTGTTTAAAATAAAAACTTAATGAACATTTAGAAGGACATGAGATGTTCAATATTTCTCTAGAATAAATACTTAATTCGTTATTTTTTAAGTTTTTAAAGGTTTCTTATTTCTAGTTTACTTTAATTCGATTTTGCCAGTGATCAACAGTCGTAATAGAATAGTCTAGAAAATTTTAGACGTGACGAACAGTGGAAGTTATGACTTTGGTTTTGTCCTATTTAACACTCACTATTTACATGTACTTGCATTCCGTTTTTGATGTTTACAACTGGATTCGAACCCATTACCCTACGTCTAAAATAACAATTAGCTGCATTTATAAACTTAATCGTGTTTGTTAAAAAGACACATGACAAAAGCGTTTTTCAAAGCTTTTAAAGCTTAATTTATAACTGATACACAAGATTTCTTTATATGTCATTAGTTCTTGGCTTATATATCTGTTGGACACATGATCTTGAACCTTTTACTAAAGGTAAAAAAAACTTTGGAATATTGAATATCCGCTTACATCAGAAATGAAAGATTACTGTTCACGGTGTTATTTACGTAGATAAATCTATAAAATTTTTATTTAATAACTTTCGCAAACTATTTTGATAATGTCATTATTTCGAACTGATCAATGTTAGACCATTATTAAAAACGTGGAAGCACTGAAGGGACTGTTTCGTTCTAATATATATCTCATCAGCAGTGCACATCCTAGATTTCTGCGAGTAGGAAGACCACTGGACCGGTGGATCTCAACCTTATTCAGGTGTGAAGCAGTGCTCACCGAAGACAGTGAATCTGTTTGCGTAACACCGCAGATAGACCGAAGTTAGACATTAACATCACTGGATGCTGGATCAGGGATCTAGAGATTAAGGGTTTACGTGCGAGATCAAAGGTTCTGGGTTTGATTTCCACATGCAAGTTTATGGATGTGCACTGCTGATTAGCCTCATACCATGACAAAACCGCCGTCCAGTGTTTATTGGTGTCTAATGGTGGTCTAACATTAATCGATTCATGGTTTCGTAAAGTAACTCGACAATCTTCACAGCCTGATAAAGTAAAATCTGTAATTATTACTCTCATATTGCATTAAATTGGTTTTTATTGTAGTGAAATAAAATTAAAGTTTTCATGTTTATTCTACTCAATAAATCTATATCCTATTCGTTATTGTTTAATTATTGATTTTGCTTATAATTATAACTGTAAAAAATAAAAAATCGAAAACAGTACATGACTAATTTTGGCAACAAATCGTCATTCGCATAGAATATCGAAATATTGATTGATTTACTAGGTATTCAATCAATGAATAATAAATAACATGTTCCAACTCTGTCCTGCTCGATCAAGCTGAATTTAAGTAGTCAAATAATCAGTAGTGTTTTTCACATGAAACTCTCATCTGTTCAGCGAAATAATATAGTTTTTTTCTATCATTTAGGATATATTACTGAATTATTACTATTATCTATGCTTTACTGAAATAGAATTTACAAATATCATTCAATGCAGTATAAATGTACATCACCAAAAATTATTACTGAGGCACACACACACATACACCACAGGAAACTTACGTGTACTGGAAAAACATTTTCGATTACTATTATTATTATTATCAGTATAAAATGGATTTCGATAATCAATTGTGGTTGTTGATACTGTTGTTGCATGAATTGTAGGAAGACAATGTTGCATTTCAATTGATTCATGCGAGGAACTGCGATGCCAGTTGATATCATTCGGATTACTGGTTAAACAATGATAATTACTCATACTCATACTATTACTATTACTATGACTACTACTAGTTCCATCGATGGATGTAAGTTGAATTTCAGCATTTCTATCGGAAGATAAACTCAACAATTGATTTTGTTCAGTTATAATGATATTTACATTGGGTTTATGATATTCATTGTCCAATTTAGTCAATTTGGTTGTAGCATGATTGGATTTGGATTTTTTACGAATAATCATCATTACAATGATGAGGATGATTATGATTGAAATAATTAAAATGGATATAATTGTAACAATGAAAAGTACCATACGTTTGTTTATTTTAAATGATATCATGGTTTCAGTGAACAGATTAGATAATCTCTGATTATTATTATTATTATTATTATTATTATTATTATGCTGTTCTTGTATACTATATACATCATGATTACTAAGTATAGGAATGTTACTGAATGAATTCCCAGAAGACTGTACAGATGTGGAATCAGCGGATGAGTGGTGTGATGTAATGGGCGTAGAAAAAGGATGATTCAATAGGGTATGAGGTAAATCATTCACTGGTTGTTGATGAAACTCCATTGGTAATATATTCAAATATATAATACATGTTGTTGTATGCATCAGTTCAGGTTTATTGTAATCTTGAATATCTATGCATAAAATATATCTACAAGGGTAAAACAAATTATTGAAAAAATTACAAACTAGAGAAACTTTTTCAATCAATTGATTGAATAGAGTATGGGTTTTTAAAAATAATTTCACAGCATTATGTGATGTTCGTCACTAGGAACGCTTGAAGCTATTACGACTTCTCCTTGGTCAGTAAACGCGAACGAGACAATTACCAGACTCCAGATAGGCTACCTTGAATCACAAGCTGTAAAACAGAAGTCTTGGTGAGCGTAGAAAGTATATTCTACAAACACCCAGCAATCACAGTGCAGTCAAGCACATAACTCTCGTTTATTTATACATCATAGAAAGGTCCTTAGGACAGTTAAGAAAATAGCACACTAAAATACACAGCAGCCAATCACAGACATGTATTCTCCTGGTGGGAAATGAAATCTCAAGGTCAACTGCTCAGCCCATACTCGCAAACGTGAAATCCAGAATAGGCATTGAACAAGCGAGATCTGGGGATCTAACATCCCCAACACATTATAACGTGTTATCACGCTCGGAGGTTCTTGTCAAGTTATAATTCAGTAAGTAAGGAAAGGTTTAAATGAGATGTAAATGTTTCAATGTTTATGCATTATAAGGACAATAAACTTTTCCCATTATGAAATTAAGTATCGCCCAGAAGTTACTACTGCAGAGAAGAATGTTGGATCCGCGTGTATGGTGTGATTGAAATGTTGTAAAGATAAGAGTGAAATAAGACAGACAAGAATGTGTTTGTTTTGCATGGTGTACACATTTTGCTAGTAAACAGTGTCTTTTTTTAAAAAAATAAATCAATTACTCTGTTCGGTCTTGACATCTTCGTTCATGACTACATTTAATAAACTGGTGGAAAGTTATACAGTTTCCTATTGATTTTCGCTTCTTTTCTGATAACTATGTTTGCTTAGCTGCCATTTTGTAAAAAGGACCCACTATTATCAACACACTTGTGTATCACAACATAACATAACCTTGAGATCCAAAACCCATATATACCTTTGTAAGTGGTTATGGTTGATCAAAAAGCTACAAATTCATTTTCTTATTATTATCGCAAAATCAAGCAACCAAATAATGAAAAGTGCATGCATTTTCTCGTGTTGATTTGATATTTAAGAACTAGAAACATCATTTAATTGGCCAAAGAAGAAAAGTTATGCAGCTCGATTGAAACGCATAGTTCAGTTACAAAAGTCAACTACGTAACCACTGTTTTAAGTCAGCTGATCAATTCTGACATTTCTGAAATTCCTATTTCCTTTAAAAAGGTTACTTAGCATTTATTAAACCAATGTTATCTTTGTTCCTGGTGTACATAGAAATGTAGGTGTTCAGTTATAATGAAGCACACTAATAAACTGTTGTACCATAGATGGAATGTGACTAACACGGGAATCCAGGATGTGAGTTTCGTCTAGTCTAGGTCTCCTAAGCTAGATGCACTTGTATTCTAGAGTCGAAGTGCACTTTATTACTCAAACACAGTGTATTTCTCCTCAAACGATCTGTACGTTATCGATTTACCTACTGAGTCCACGTAGCTAATTGCTTGTGTAATGAGTATGGATTTCAATTTAGTTTGTAGTGGTTTGGATTATCTTTTTGCTGATATTTTCACCAAGGCTGATCACTTTTTAATCGTAAAATAATAACAACAGAATATTCTCAACCAATTCAAATTACACTTATTGAAAATCGAATTGACATTGACTTACACTCCTACATCCATCAATAATAGCTGTCTAATTACACTTAAAACTCCAGTGTATGGATTCAATGAAAGAAAAGGTTTTCCATTCCATATGAGGAGATTTTCTCTAGTTTTTTCAACATTGTTACTACTGTTATGGGTTACATTACGTAGTAACCAGATTTGGCGCAATGTATAAAATCGTTTATTCCCACTTTTCATGACTCCTTCTTTATCTCTTCGGTTTAATTTAACAATGATATATCCTTGTGAAACTTTATATGAAATTGATAAATTTGTCATACAATATGGTGGTTTTAAACCTAGTTCATGCAGCAACGTCTTCAATGGTTCATGTATTGATTTGACCGAATAAAATAATTTTTTCATTGTCTGTTCAGTGTCATATTGATCACTGACATAAAGAACAATTTTGATGGATGTTTTGAAATTCTTTGACATCACTGCATGAAAATCACCTGATTCAGTGGTGGTTAAAGTAAGAACATATCGATCGCCCGGTTTATGTTTTAGTAAATTCATTACATTGATTGTGTAACCATTGCATAATAAATCTGAATAATTATTACACAAAAATTTGATAGGCAATAAAATGAAATCCACTGATTTCTGTTCATAAGTTGACAGAGACGCGTCGACTTCACTCAATGTCAATTTACATTTATGATTTTTAAAATTCCAAACGCGTGATTGAGGATATTTTGCACAGTAAACGATTGTATTCGGTAACACTACACTTCCAGGTTGGATTGACTGAGATATATAAAATTCATATGTATAATTCGAATAAGTTTCGATTAATGAATTTGATATATTTCTTCGTAAATAAATAATTGTTTGAGCATTTGGATTATTTAACTCTGGTAAAGTGGATGCTGTTGGGAATAGGGACTTTTCAAACGATGGATCAATGAAGCTCAATGTTAAATTGATTAGTATTTGAATTTTCTGGCTAAGATGATTTGAATAATCATATAGAGAACCAATTTTTGAAACTTGTACAATTAATTGTTTTTTATTTTTTGTATATTTTTCAAATTCTCGTTGTAAACTAACTACACCGGAAGTTGAATCAATTGCGAAATTATTTCCTAACAGTTAAAACAAATAATTAATATTCAACTATCAATTATAATTGAAACTGTTGAATATGTGTTATAAAATAAACTAATGTAAATTTGTTTATGCATGTTTACACTGATTAATACTTTCAACTGTAAATTATAATTATGTTATATAAGAGATTAACTTGTAGTGCCTCCACATATATTTGAGTTCGCTTACATTTAATTTGGTTAGGCCTTTCGATTAAATTATTTAACCAAGCCATTTGTTTTGCAACAACTTATGTGTATCATTGGTTTTTACTATTGTCTGTTTTGTATGAGCTCGTATGACTGAACATTGCTTACGCCTACGCGCATATTTATCCTATTCGCTTTAATGTTAATCTCTTAAATATCTCGATGATTCAAACATTTTCCTATGTATATAATATATGAACACTTTAATCTTATTAATTCATTCGCACATTCACCAATTCGATCGCTAGTGTGCTTGCCCTGTCCGCTTGTGGTCTGTTGTGTTGGGGATGTTAGATCCCCAAAATTCGCTTGATAATGCCGTATTTTGGTTTTTACGTTTCGCCAGCAGGGGCTGATCAAATGACCTTGAGATTTCAATTCCCACCAGGAAAATCAATGGCTGTGATTGGCTACAGTGTATTTTAGTATGCTATTTTCTTAACTGTCTCAAGGACGTTGTTATGTTGTATAAATAAACGAGAGTTGTATGCTTGATTGTACTGGGATTGCTGGGTGCTTGTAGAATATACTTCTACGCCTACAAAGTCTTCTATTTCGATTCTGGGATTCAGGGTAGCCTTCCTGGAAGCTGGTAAAAGTCTCGTTCGCGTTTATCGACTAAGGTAAACTCGTAATAGCCTCAAGCATCCTAAGTGCCGAACATATCAGTGGCGACGGGGTAAAAACCATATCCACAAAACATATCAGTGGCGACGGGGCTCACAATTCACAATGTCAATTAACCTTGAACAGTTAGAATCTTTACTGGAACGTCAAGGTAAACGATATGAACAGTTCCAGGAACGTATGTTGGAGCTGTTAAGGAAACAAATGAATTTGAACCCACGAGATTGTTCGTTTTCTGAGACTGTTCAGACTTTAAGCCAACACTTTGGAGACAACTCGTCACTATTTAATACTCGTTATCGATGTTTGAAGCTTATTATGAACGAAGATGATGATTTTCTTACGCACGTGGGCATCGTCAACCGTGAATGCGAACGCTTTCGGTTGAAGTCTTTGTCGGAAGACCAGTTCAAAGCCCTCATTCTCATCTGCAGCCTCCAGTCGAGTAAGTTCAGTGACATTAGAACAAGGCTACTAAGTCGGTTGGAGCAAGATCCAAAGCTTACGCTTAATGATATGGCTCATGAGTACCAACGTCTCACTAACCTACAACGAGACTCGACTATAGTTCAGAGTGGTAGTTCAAGCCGATCTGAAATTCATTTGGTACAGCAGCCACCTAATCATTATAAGTCTGCCCATGCTACACCCAGTTCACCCCGCTCCAATTCGGCCCAAAAACCCAAAATGAATCCACCTTCTGCTTGCTGGCACTGCGGTTCATGGCACTATGTACGGAACTGCCCATTTAGGCAGCATAGATGCAGGAAGTGTAAAGTCATCGGTCATAAAGATGGCTTTTGCCTACAGAAAAAGCCAAAGCGATCCAGAAGTGCTAAGAAGCCTGTTCCTAGATCCAGTACCAATGCATTGAGCCTAATATCTTCCTGCCAAAGTTCATCACCAGGTGAGAGGAGATTTATTACTCTTAATATTAACGGTTATTTGTGTAGAATGCAAATAGATACTGCATCTGATGTCACTATCCTCTCACGCAAAAATTGGACCAAGTTGGGCAGCCCAAGCCTGCAGCACACAACACAAAAGCCTCGCACAGCATGTGGTAATTATCTTCGTCTGTTAGGACAATTGGAATGTAAAGTTGCTTTCCGAGATTCGTCGTTTACTGGGGTATGCTATATAACGCCAGCTGATCTAAATTTACTTGGTTTAGATTGGTTCGACCAGCTGAAATTGGCTGATGTCCCGCTAAATACCATATGCAACCTGATATCACAACGACATGACCCAAACGCCTTGTCACGACTCATTAATGATCAAGTGGCGGCTGAGGAAAACATGGTGATCGCATCTCTGTCAGTAGAAGACCACGCAGAATGTTATCTGACAACCGCAGTTCGCGCATTACCGGTGTCTGCAACAGACATACAAAATGCTTCTAGAAACGACCCCATCATCAAGATGACGATGAAATATGTCACTAACGGTTGGCCGTCGAAAAAGTTTGAAGGTGACATGAAGCAACTGTATCAGCGGCGGGATTCACTATGCATCGTGAACGATTGTCTCATGTTTGGTGAAAGAGTAGTGGTGCCAGAATCCCTTCGTGCAAAAGTGCTGAGACAGTTCCATCTTGGTCATCCTGGGATTAAACGAATGAAGTCCATAGCCAGAAGTTATGCATACTGGCCTCACATGGATCAACATGTCACAGCGTTGGTTGAAAAATGCATCCGGTGTCAACAGGCGGCAAAGATGAATGCCAAAATTCCGCCGGTTTCATGGCCCAAACCTGAGCATCCTTGGTCCAGGATACATGTCGACTTCGCTGGCCCAATAAATGGAACTATGTATTTAATTGCCGTCGACGCCTTTTCTAAATGGCCGGAAATCAGCCCCGTTATGCCGCCCACTACAACTAAGACTATACAGCTCCTAACTGAAATTTTCTCACGAAATGGCATACCAGATGTGATCGTATCCGACAATGGCTCTCAATTCACCTCTTCCCAATTCCAGAATTTCTGTCAACGGCTAGCCATTAAACACTTACGCTCGCCACCATACCACCCTCAATCGAATGGGCAGGCGGAAAGGTTTGTGGATACGTTTAAAAGAGCACTGCTTAAGTCAAAAGGGGAGGGGACGCCAGCCGAAGCATTACAAAATTTCTTGTACGTCTATCGGACAACACCAAATGAATTGTTACCGGAGCAAAAGTCCCCAGCTGAAATCCTGATGGGAAGAAGATTGAAAACGATTCACAGCCTGATGCATCCGACCAATGCACCCTCATCAGTAGGGACAAAGCAGCAAAGACAATCCGCTTACGAGGTGGGATGCCCTGTGTTTGCCCGCGACTACAGAACGAACCATGGTCCTTGGGTAGAAGCGAGAGTGGTCAGAAGGGTTGGTCGAGTTATGTACGAAGTAGAGGTAGGAGGTGATAAATGGTCACGTCATCGGAATCAGATACGCAGACGGCTAGCCCCAGATCGCCCATCAAGAACAGAAAGCCTTCCCCTTGACATCTTGCTTGATACCTTCAACCTACGGAGAGCCCCGCCGCGAGAAGAAACTCATCAGCAAGCTGTTCTTCGTTCCCGAAGGTATCCCCTCAGACAGCGGCGAACAATTGTCAAGATGCAAGTCGACCCCAGGAGAACAAGCTATTAAAAAGGGGAGGAGTGTTGGGGATGTTAGATCCCCAAAATTCGCTTGATAATGCCGTATTTTGGTTTTTACGTTTCGCCAGCAGGGGCTGATCAAATGACCTTGAGATTTCAATTCCCACCAGGAAAATCAATGGCTGTGATTGGCTACAGTGTATTTTAGTATGCTATTTTCTTAACTGTCTCAAGGACGTTGTTATGTTGTATAAATAAACGAGAGTTGTATGCTTGATTGTACTGGGATTGCTGGGTGCTTGTAGAATATACTTCTACGCCTACAAAGTCTTCTATTTCGATTCTGGGATTCAGGGTAGCCTTCCTGGAAGCTGGTAAAAGTCTCGTTCGCGTTTATCGACTAAGGTAAACTCGTAATAGCCTCAAGCATCCTAAGTGCCGAGCATATCAGTGGCGACGGGGTAAAAACCATATCCACAAAACATATCAGTTGTCCGATTTTGTGGTGTGCTAAAAATAAACGAAATCAACTCTTCGTATTTTCCTTCTGATTTCTAACCGTCAGGCGTCATTTAGTAACGATTGTCTGGACGAGCTAATTACGAAGCTTAAGAACACGTTGAAATTGGCCGCCACAAACTAATGTAGTGTGTTTTAACTATTTGATGCAAACTCAGTGATTCAAGAGTCAATAGCTACTTTACCAAGTGATTTTACTAGCGTTAGGTTATTCTGAATAATTTATCAAATAATAATTTATTGTATAACACTAATTTTTAACGGAAATTTAATATTAATCGCTGAATAATTATAATCATAATACGAGTAACTTGGAACCTGATATAACTCAAAGAGTTATTCAATTATTTAGTTATTTTTTGATGATATGTATTCTTCTATTAAAAAGCATTTGTATTAAGTTTAGAGAATGATCTTACTGGATGTATTTTAGGTTTCGCTTTCTTTGATTGCTTTGAAATGTATAGCATACATTGAATAATGATTTATACTAAATGTTGATATATTTGGTTCCTTTGATATCTAAATTACTTATTTGAATCTAATACACTAAATCTGGACTCATCACATTGAAATCATAAATTGATCGATGTTAGACCACCACGGTAAAACCTGAAAGCGCTGGACAGCCATCTCATCAGAGACTCATCAGCAGTGCGCATGCATGACCCTTGCACGCTGGAATCGAATTCAGGACCTTCGGTCTCATATGCGAACCTTTAACCTCAAGACCACTTACCCTGGATCCAAAGGTGTTATTGTCTAACTTCCATTACTGCCGGGTCTTGCTCACTAGTGACTAGCTTGTTTAGGGAATTTATAGTGAGAATTCGCGACCAGTAGATGGCAACACAGTCAGGTGTGAAAGATTGCTCACCAAAGACAATGCTTGAAGTCGCGCAATACCGTGCGCAGGTCATCTACACGCACAGCTAGTGGGTGTCATAATAGGACAGAAGCGCTATTCAACGCTTCCATGTTTCTTATGGCGATCTAACATTCATGGATTGATAATTTCAATCAAACTGAACAATAGCTATTAAGGTAGAATTAAAATTTATTACATTCTGAAACCATACGTCCGCTATGATATTATTAACTCATTAAAACGTGTATAACAGATGTCTTGAAAATTGTATAATTTTCTTAACAAAATTTAAATCACAACTTGTTTTAAGTTAAATCTTCATTGAAAAAAAACGAATGCTTCTTAGTTTTCAACGATAATCTGACTATGAGATTAAGTTGGAGGGAAGCACGGTATTAACTGGACAGTTAGGACGCAGCTGGACGATCTGGACTTCGCAGATGACTTGGCTCTTCTATCGCACACGCAAGAACAAATGCAAGACAAGACGACCAGTGTAGCAGTAGCCTCTGCAGCAGTAGGTCTCTACATACATAAAGGAAAAAGCGAAATTCTCCGATGCAACACAACATGAACCAACCAAATCATTCTTGATGGAGATGCCTTGGAGGACGTTAATACCTTTACATATCTTGGCAGAATCATCGACAAGCAAGGTGGATCCGATGCAGATGTGAGGGCACGGATTGGCAAAGCAAGGGCTGCATTTCTAAAGTTGAAAAATGTCTGCAACTCCAAACAACTTTCAACCAAAACCAAAATCAGGATCTTCAATACAAATGTCAAGACAGTTCTACTGTACGAAGCGGAAACATGGAGAACTACCGAAGCCATCATCCAGAAGATACAAGTGTTTATTAACAGTTGTCTACGCAAAATACTTCGTATTCTTTGGCCAGACACGATCAGCAACAACCTACTGTGGGAGAGAACAAACGAGATTGCAGTGGAGAAGGAAATCAGGAAGAAGCGGTGGAAGTGGATAGGACACACACTACGAAAAGCACCTAACTGCGTCACGAGACAAGCCCTCACATGGAACCCTCAAGGCAAAAGGAGAAGAGGAAGGCCAAAGAATACAGTACGCCGAGAAATAGAGAAAGATATGAGAGGAATGAACAAACATTGAACAGAACTGGAGAGGGAAGCCCAGAACAGAGTTGGTTGGAGAAAACTGGTGGGCGGCCTATGCTCCATTGGGGGTAACAGGCGTAAGTAGTTAAGTAATATATATAGTTTTTAAATTACTTTTTCAGTTGTAAAATATACATTACGGAGTTGTAAAGATTGTTAAGTTACACATTTCGAAACCATGAATCGATGAATTTTAGACAACTATTATAAACCTGGAAGCACTGGACGGCCACTTCTTCCTGGCATGGGACTCAACAGCAGTACGCATCCACAACTCCTTATACTTACAGGACCTTCAGTTTTGCACTTGAACGCTTAACCTTTGTACTAATGAGCTGGCATCCAAAGGTGTTGTTGTCTAACTTTTTTTAAGTCTAGGGATTTAGTGCAACCCCACGCATTGTCGTCGGTAGTTACCGTCTACACTCCATAGGGGTGAACTCCACTGGTCACATCTCACTAAAACTCGGGGAACTTTCTCATGAAGCTAGTCACTAGTGAGCACAATTTATGAATTTCCATCATAGTTCAGGAATCGTTGTTTTTACACCTTGAAATCATCACTAGAAACCTGGAAGAATGTTTCTTTCCTACTCTATGAATTATTGAATTTGAAAGAAAACTAATTTACATTACCGTGTATAATCAAAATACAAGACATGTATGACAAGGCGGCCTCTTTGTTTGTTTTGATACCTCATTTATGTCCAGTAATTGCATAATCACTTCAGTCATGAATAGAGAACGTTTATGACTTATCGTTTCACATGGTACAAGAAAACTACAATCCGTGAGACATCAACGCGTCTGGCAATGTGCATTAAAAAGAAAATGTGTTGAAAAAATTCTGTTCGGAGAATTCCATAGTTTACTAAGCTCATATAATTATGAATAAAACCATTATTATCCTTTAATTACTAGTGGTAGTAGTAGTAGTAGTAGTCGGAGTCGTAGTAGTAATAGTAGTAGTGGTAGTAGTAGTATTAGTAGCAATAGTATTAGTAATTTTAGTAGTAGTAGTAGTAGTAGTAGTAGTAGTAGTAGTAGTAGTAGTAGTAGTCATGAAAAAAAACAACTTACCATTAGGTATCTCTTTAATTAATTCATAAATTATTTGAAAATTTTTATTCATCTCAGAATTTGTTTGAATTACAATACTGAATAATTTTTGATGAATTTTAATATTTTTCTGTATTATTAAACATATACTTGACTTTGCTTCAAATTGTACACTATGCAATTTTGTAGGATAAATAATTTTCGATAGAGTATAATGCTCAGCTGATGAACTCTTCTCTGGACGAAATGTTTCTTCTGCATTATTGTGTTGCAATGAATTGAAATGATTATTAAAATAATCACAATTTATATCATTCACGATAAAATTGTTTAAAAGTTGTAAATGTGAAAATTGAAATTCAATTTGTTTTGATGATGAATAATTATGATGAATTAGTTCAAAGTGAATTGTTTGCATTGTAGTTAATGGCGGTGATCCATAATCCCAGCATTGAATCAGTACATATAAATCAGATATTTTGTCCGGGTCAAAAATCTACAATGTGGAATAAAAAAAATCACGATAATGGCTTTATTCAGTGCTTTATGTTTACTACCATATAGAATTCTCAACATGAAAGCAAAAAGTTCAAGAACTGATATTCGTTTATCGCTGAAATCATGAATAAATCATTGTTAGATCACCATCAGAAATCTAGAACCACTGGACGATCAATTTACCCCGGTATCGAACTCATCAGTAGCACACACCCGCGATTCTAGCTACTCGCAGGATTCGAACCCAGAGTCCATGGTCTTGCACGCGAACGCTTAATCTCTGAACCACTGCAGAAGAGTCCCATACCACGTCGAAACAGCCATCGATTGTTAGTTGGTTTATAATATTGGTCTAACAATGATTGATTCATGATATCAGTAAACAAAACAACAGTTCCCATAACTATGTAATGGAAAAGTCTTGGATTGCAGTTTTTTTCAAAGTTCGCGTAGTGATGGGTCGAAAAATATCTTATACATAGGCAACTGAATAGATTATGCAATCGTTGGACATAGTTTATGCATTAAAACGAACAGAAATATGTAACATTTTGAAATATTTTGATGTTATGAAACAGGTAGCGATATAAAACTGGAGCCCTTCTGAGGTTACTGCAGGTGCTAAGCGGGGATTAAGGAGGAGGGTTAGATATGGAGTTTCCGACTCCATCACAAAGAGAACCAACTTGCTCAAAATACGTTAACTAGAAGAAATAATTCAAACCATTCAAAATCTGCCAAAGGAGTTGGAAGCTTTTCATTTAAAAGAGTTAAAACGTCTCATGATGAGAGTCAAGTATATTAGGAAGTCTGGAGGCCGATTTTAAAGCATTTTGAAGTAGGCACGAGAAGAATAAACATCAGTTAGAAACGAAGGCTCAGAAGGGAGTTAACTGGAGAATGCTGGTAGGCGACTTATGCTCCGTTTGGAAGTAACAGCCTTAAGTAAGTAAGTAAGCAATCTATCGGATCACTGTTACGGTTTTTTATTTGGTTGCTTACTAAAGTTTCTAATCAAAATTTGAATCATCATGAATTTTGACAAATGACACACAATAATTCAACAATCTGTTCTATACGACACAAGACAGCAGTCAAGACATCAAGAAAAACTTGATGTTCAAGAAGACAAGATTGTATTCAAACAACTATGCTTCTTATGGCAATCAAAACATATAAAAATGAATTGGTTAAGTATAAGTGCTAGCAAACTATTCAATAACAACAAACATCAACACAAAAAGTTTTCTTTCTCACAGGTAAAAAGTTTCATTTCTTAACGAAATCTAGATAACTTGGATTTTTTTCCCTCAGATGTGACTTAAAAACTCGGTTATTTTATTTCGTACTACAAGATAAATGGCATTAACTCTACAAAAAAAGGATACTTTCTGTAAGGTTCGTCACTAGGTACGCTTGAAGCTATTACGAGTTCACATTAGTCGATAGACGTGAGCGAGACAATTACTAGAGTCAAGGTAGACTAACTTGAATGCCAAGCAGAAGATAAAAGGCTTTGTAAGCGTAGAAAGTATATTTTACAAACACCCAGCAATCACAGTACAATCAAGCACACAACTCTCGTTTATTTATACATTATAAAAAAGTCCTTGGGACTGTTATGAAAATAGCACACTAAAATACACAGCAGCCCATCACAGACATGGATTTTCCTGGTATGAAATGAAATCTCAAGGTCAATTGATCAGCCCATGCTGGCAAACGTGAAATCCAGAATAGGCATTGAACAAGCGAGTTTTGCGGATCTAACATCCCCAACACTTTCTTAATTCACCTGGTTAAAAACTGAATACATGAATCAATGCTGAAGAAATTATTTTCTAAAGAACTATTTTTCTTAGTCTATATAACTAATTATAATCTAGGCATAAAATTTATAAATGTTTTATGAATTTACATTTACGCTCTCAAATTACTTAAACACAAAAACATCTAACATGAAGAGGTAAACTGAAAAGAAAATCCTATTCTAATTGAATATTATATAACATCATTATTTCAGTATCATGTTCTTTGTCTGTCTTCTTAAGTAGAGATAACAAAGTTGCTGTACTTTGATTAACTACAAACTACCAATAAAAATTCACATTTACTGTGTTAAGTTTCACTTGAAATCATGACTAATTGAAATATACGCATAGATTCACCAACATTGTGTGTTTAAATCTTTCAGTTGATGTTTAAGACTTCAAGTGATCACTGTGTTTAGACATATATGCATCTTGTGCGTTTGAAGTGAACGATACCGAGGGCAAGTCCAAAAGAGAATATCAACATGGATTCTGGTACATCAGGCTAAATTTAAGTTCTGAATAAGAAAAAAATATGCACATCCTGGATTTCACTGCTAGCCACTGTCCATCTATGTTTACTACAGATGATATTACTTGTTAGTCAGATAATAACTTTATTCAACTGTTGTTCCGGTTCGGTTTGGTTAGTGGCATTTAAAATGGTACATGGATAAGTCTTCTAATCCTCATCGATTTTGCAATATCCACAGACATCAATAAAACACATGAACAATGTTAAATACTAATGAAAACATTGAAATGTTTGATCGATCACTGAGTAGTGAACAATATCATGTATGTCTAGTTCTAACTGACTAAATAACATGAAATACAGGTCAAGCAGAGTTTTTTGTGGACTACATTCAAAACATTTGACATTGTAAATATATATATATTCAAGAGCTCATGACTGAAAACAGTATTATTTGTCTGTAAGTATCATTTTGATTAACAAACACTTTATAGATTTCTAAGCACGCACCTATATGCAAAAATAAATAACAAACTTCGCAAGAACTCAGAAACTATCAATAGCTATTATTAGAATCCCGAATTCATACTTTGTCCCATACAGAGCAAATCACTTGCATAAATATCTGAATCCAGTGTTAAGGTTCACACAGAGACTTAGGTAACTAGAGTCATTTTCAAAAATATCCTACATAATACCGATTGTTCTATCGATTCCAAATAACCATTGACTTTTATAATAAGTATAAATGTTTATTCAGAGATTATATCAAATCAAACCACATAATTAGATGAAAATTGTTCAATTACAACTATTTAACCATTAATAATTGAAAATTTCTAAAAAAAAAACGATCCGAAAATATCATGAATGCAAACTTTTATTCAGTTAATTTTTACTAGTAGTATGCTTCTTTTCATTCATTCTCATAAATCGTTCTATCGCTTGTTTGCGTGTTGATCATTTAGCAGAGATTCTAATCGTTTCAAAATTAGGATAATTCTTTTTTTTGAAAAAAAAATGGAATTATTGTTTGATAAATATTATTAATGCGATTTTAGATCATGTTTTTATTTTCACCAGCCTAACTTGAAATAATTCACATCCGAATGATGATATTGAAACAGCGGAAAATCATCTTTCACAAGCTGTTATCGGCCAAGTGCTTTGATGGATTGTTTGTGTAATCCGATGTTCTGCGATGCTTCTCCTAACACTAAACAAATACTCTTGAAGTTTAAAATGGTACATTCAACAGTGATCATTCGAAACTAAACACTAGTTTGTGCGTATGTTGTATTCTTGAAGTTAGTTTCAAGAAACTCAAGTAAAAACTATAATTCAAATCTAACACATGTGTTAAACAAAACCGGTCGCTTAAAACATTACAGCTAAAATCAAATCAACGAATAGATTTACATGCAAAGACTTATTTCACATGATTAGAAGCATATGAAGACGTCATTATCTGTAAAGGAGCACGAGATGCAGATGGACGATCTAAACTTTGCAGATGATTATCCCAGGTACAACAACAAATGCAGGATAAGACAACTACTCAAGCAGCAGCCTCTGCAGCAGCAGGTCTCAACATAAACAAGGAAAAAGGCAAGATTACCCGATACAACACAACATGCACCAACCAAACCACACTTAATAGCGATGCCCTGGAGGACGTAAAACCTCAAAATTGATCCTCTGTATGGAGCAGAAACTTTGAAAACTACTAAAACCATCATCAACAAGATACAAGTGTTTATTAACAGTTTTCTATGAAAGATACTTCATTCCTGTTGACCAGACACCATCAGCAACAACAAAGAGAGAGCAAAAGAAGAAATCAAAAAAAAGCACTGGAAGTGGATAGGACATACACTGAAGAAGGCATCCAACGGCGTCAGATTACAAGCCCTCACCTGGAATCTTCAAGGTCAAAGGAGAAGAGAAAGACCAAAGAATACATTTTGGCAAAAGTCGGCAACAGATATGAGAAGAATGACCAACAATTGGATAGAACTAGGAAGGAAGGCCTTGGACAGAGTAGGTTGGAGAATGCTAGTTGGTGACCTATGTTCCATTCGGAGTAACAAGCGTAAGTAAACAAGTTGTGAAGCATACCATCCAAATAATTTTAAAATATGATTGTATTCGATCTGTCTGGAATTGATTTTGACTTATATGATAGACATCCTCCAGGCATCAATTTCAGTAATCATCTAAACTTTAACAAAGAAATCTGCATCTTCCTAATATATCTCAAACATATAAAACTGTATTTACTTTCTAACTCCCTAGTATGATGAAAATCTATTATAAGATTTGACAGAATTACCCACCAAGTATATGAAAGACAATATATTTGTAAACTATATTCAAAGTCAATGTGTATCTGGAAAAAAGAAAACTAGTTTGAACTTCTACAGCAAATTAATCAATATCATCAGTAAAATTTTAGCGGAAGCGTTATCAAATTGAAATATGTTAGAACTACTTAAATATAAATATTACTCTTACAGATGATCCGATTAAAATATGTTATGATCTAATCAATGGACAAATAATAACACTCATAAAAATTTGATTCACACAAATATAGATGTATATTATAATCATTAAACTGTTCAATTGTTCAAACAATTTGAATAATGCATACATATATCACACATTTGATAATCTACATTGAACATTGAAACGATTCTTTTAACACTATTTAAACCTATTTTACCGGAAGTGAACTTTATCATCGTTTTTATGAGAAATTTTAAAAGATCCAATTAAATTTAATTAATTAAATTGTTGTTTTAGTCCACAAACGTTAAATACACTGTCTTTGTAACAATAGAAAACGTTTGAAATTATTGTGAGTTTTGTTAAGAGCGCTTAATAATATCTGGAAAAGTTTTGTTTTTAGAATGAAAGGAACTCCCGGAAATAAATCGATCAATTAGATCATTGTAAACATTAAAGATAGCTACAGAAGATGAATTATTGTGTGATCACTCGTTGTTTATGTTTATGTTTTGCAAAAGCTTTTACAATCCTATGATTGAATGTAATCCTTTAATAAACAGTCTTGTGTTTTCGAATGAGGAACCAACCTTTGGACCAGTGTGTCTATAACTTTTCCCCTTTATTTTATGTCTGAGATTTAATTCTTAAAAACATTCCATGGAACAAGAAAGTGATTAGAAATAGGATATATAAACTTTCAAGTATCGTAACATTTATAATGGTGATATAGTTGTAATAACAGTCGTTCCGAATGTCAAAAGAGAGTAAACAAATTCAAATGAAATATAAAGTAAAACTTTATCATCAAATATACTGCTCAAGTTGATTATTTTCTGAGTATACAATTACAAAGGTGACTTGAAAAAACGAACTGTCAATAACAATACTTATAACATCACTATTGACTCTTGTGAGAATTCTTTCGGCCAACCAAAGTATGACTATATTGCACAACAGTGGTGGAGGTAGGGTGTTTCGCGTAGACAAACAACGTCCGCAGAGATGCTGTCATTCCAGAACGAAGAGGAAAATGTGCGGAAAATTTAGACCTAAAAAAAGCGCCTCGTTTTACTGCACGAATTTTCATTGTCGTCAGTCTGACACACTAACACATCCAAGGCTACTCACGGAGCGGATGACCTTTACATATTGCAGTCGGCTCTCACACCGGATACAGCCTTCCACAGCTTGGGCAACCGTGAAGTGACCAACGCCTTAACTTGTAACCCTCAATGCCAAAGGAAAAGAGGTAGTCTAAGGAACATACTGCGCTGATAATCAGAAACAGAGATAAAAAAAGTGTATATGGGAGGAAAGCAAGGCCAAGGACAGAGTTGGTTGGAGAATGATGGTCTATCGCCTATCAACCATTAGGGATAACAAGAGTAATTAAGTAAATTTTATAGTCAGAGTCAAGCTCGAAACTATGAGTTAATGGTTGAAAATCAAATAGTTGGACAGTGTAGCTCGTTGTTCCTAAAAGCTGAAATTCGCATCTTTTTCTGTTAACATAAACTAATGTTTCCAGTGAGGGGAACAATATTTTTGCATGTATAACAAAACTTCATTCTTTCTTTGTAACAAATGTATATTCAATCAGCGTTATAATAATTTTTTTTTCTAAAACAAACAAATAACCTTGTAACTCAATGAAATGAAAAATATCGTCGAACCGCAGATCCTGACAAGAAAAGAACTAGTTTATCATAATAAAAGTTTCAACCACGTGATTGTGGTGTCTATCATTGCGTGTCAATTAATCCTTAAACTAAAGAAAAAAATATTCACGGGATGCTGCGAATTTGAAAATTATCAGTAAGTATTTTTAATATCTATGTCAGTCATCGTCTTACATTTTCTTCTATATATATATATATATATATATATATATATATATATATATGGAAATCATGAATGAATCATTGTTAGACCACTACTGGAAGCACTGGAAGGTATGCGACCTATCAGCACTGCGTATCCACAACTTCTGCTACTGGTAGGGTTCGAGGCCTTGGCCGTCAGTCTTCTCACAAATGCTGGACCACCGACCCGGCGTCCAACAGTGATTATGTCCAACCAGCTGTTAATAATAAGGTAAGCTACGATCCAATGATCCCCAAGTTTGACTTGAATCATTGTACTATGTACTACACTTTTAAAATATAATTTGTATTTGAACTGGAAGAAAAAACTACTTCTTCAACTGAACATTTAGTTGGCTTATGTTCTTGATATATTCGTCTCTAGGTACGCTTAAAACTATTACGGGTTCACCTTTGTCGAATAGAGCGAACAAAACAATTAACCAGAGTCCAGGTAGGCTACTGTGATCCCTTGACCAAATTGTACCAGCAATAAGTCTTGATATGGTGTAGAAAGTGTATTCTACATATACCGAACCAGCACACAAATCGCCTTTATTTATACACCATAGAGACGTCCTTGGAAGAGTCACAAAAATAGCACACTAAAATGACACAATAACCAATCATAACCAAGGATTTTCGTGATGGGAAATGTGATCTCAAGGTCAACTGATCAGTCTATGAATGAAATCCAAACTAAAGACATTTATCAAGCGATTTCTGGGGATCCAACATCCCCAACAATTCTGCTATAACAGTGTTCACTTCAGCCATCTAGTCATATAAGTATCCATTACTTTTGATCATATCTTGTCATAATTTAATCAGATATTTCATTGTTTTACTTAAATGAATATATAAACTGTTCTTTAATGAAAACTAGAATCATTAACTCTTATTGTCATTCAAGATAAAATCACTATTCCCTGACTAACTAACTAACTTGTTTAACACTTACCATATTAGTTTTAAATTGATAATTGCGATAAGTTGAAGATGAATCCAAGTTATTATTATCATTATTATTATTATTATTATTATAAACTATGGCATCCTGTCGTTTCCTGCTTATTATTGTTCTACTATCCCTCTTTCTTCTTTCTCTATCTCTCCACCACCTCTTCTTCCTTCTAATGTTCATCTTTTCTTTAACTAATAAATCTGATTGAATTCTTTTCTTTGGCAATTTCTGCAATTCATTTTCTTCCAGTATTGCATTTTGTTGTTGATCACGTTGCTGTTGACGATAGTTGAATTGACCAAGAAAATTAAACGGCTCCAAAAGTATAAATGGTTGTTGGTTATTATTATGATTATTATTATGATCAGTGCCGCCATTGTACACAATAGAATGATATTGTTCATTTTGTTTTAAACTTTTTACTGAATACATTAATAATTGTTTTATAATATCACATTGAACTGTACCGTTTTCATTTAAATCTGGATCATGAACAATGAGAAAATTGACAATTGTATTCACAGGTTGATTACCAATCATTTTCGTGTGTAAAGAAAGATTATTTAATCGATTAGTGAGATGACTAATATTCATTGATGCATAGTGATTGTCAATTGATTTCCAAATGTCAGTTATTAATAATTCATTGTTCAATGGATGAACAGATTGAATGCTAGATGATTGCTGTGTGTTTGATTTCTGGATTTGTTCAGTTTCATCAGTTAATTGAATCACCGGTGGATTATCGTTAATATCTAATATATTTATTATAACAAAAAGATTTGAACTACGTTGTGGTACACCTTGATCTGAAGCTGTAATGGTTAAATGATGAAGACCAGTTGAAATTGGCGGTTTTTCACGATCTAATGGTTCTTGTATGATTAATTCACCGGTTGAAGAATTGAGCTTAAAAAACTGAACAAAAAGAAATATACAAATTTAAGAAGAAGAAATGAAGGAAATAGTTATGGTGTTATCGAGTTTTATTGAGGATTGGCTGCCTCAAAAAGGGTTAAAAATCTGAACTTGTAATTTCACTAGATATAAAGCTTAGGTAAACAATACTGTCTTCAAGAAACGAATACTTGGTAGGCATGGCAAATCAATAGATGGAGTACTGGAGAGATGAGTTACGTGTGCCCAACCACCGACTGTCTCGGGTAGCGATGTTTTGTGGTGTAGGAGTAGGTTGGAAGAAAGATAGAGGCGGCCAAACCAAAATATGGAACAAATCCGTGAAGTCAATGACAAGTGAACAGAGTCATGTTAGTACGTTTAGACCACCTGGTTGGGGTCCATGCTACAGGTGCATCCATTCTTTGTGTTCTCTAAAATTTTAATCTTCTAAATTCCTCATCACCTCCATCTTTCTCTCTCTAAACGTACTTCACTGGATTATACTTCATGGGTAATTTCTCCATACCATGATCTTCTCAATTACCGCTAATACTACTACTATCTCTACCGCTATGGGATTTGAACCGACAACTGCGTCTTTATGCTAACGCGGAATGAAAACCTAAAGTTATATACTTACGTACGAAGTTCTACGTCGTAACTGACTGACTAACTGAAAGCTCATGTTTGCTAAGACATTGTTTCTGGCTTTTCCAAAACTGACTTATTCTGACAAATCGCTCCTACTAAAATACACTGATTATTGAATATTGCTGGTTAGCATTGTAGCTCATATAAACAAAGTGGGTTTAAATTGATTTTTTGACTTTCCTAATTACACCTTTGTTTACTTATGTTAGATGGGCTCAGAAAAACGTAAAAATTAAATTCACTGAATATTTGTAGTGTGCAGCTGAACTCTTTTCTAAAGGATTCAAAGCTAAAATACATTCAACTAACTACAACAAGCCATACGGCGCACAAGATGAATAATACCTCTTCACTTACTCACATACTCTCATGATTTACTAACGATACAAAACGATAATGTTGTTACAAATTAAATTAGAAACATATTTCGATGCTAGACTGAGGAGATTTTGAAAATACTTGATATATCTGGAAATCGAATTTCTATCCAGTAGTAACATAATAGTATCAAGATCGAATGTAATGGCTGGAATTTTTTAGAAAAAACTATAGTTATCAACAGAAATCACAAAAGCATACAGTCACCTAACTGTTATCTAGATCAACATCTCCAATCTACCTACAATCTACTATTTTTGTGGAATATAGAATACATTCACTTTAACAATTATCATTTGAATCTTTTAATTCATAATACAGATAAAACAAGATATTATTTTTCCCCAGAAAAACATATTTGATTTCATACTTGAGTAGAAATTCCTAAATAAATGGGGTTTGTTACATAAGGTAAAAACATTAAATGCCGTCAGTGTAGTCACTTTCAAATGAATGATCGTTACAACACGATTTTTCATCAAAGAGTTATAGAAATTGTTGTTTATTATTGAAGTTAATAATCAATCATTGTTAGACCACCAATAGAATCCTTGGAGAAGTGAACGGTCACTTTGTTCTGTTTAGGGACCGTTGAATTCTGGCTCAGTAATCCAGAGGTTAAGCGTTCGCGCGTAAGACCCGAAGATCCTGGGTTCAAATAATGCCAGTAGCGGTAGTCGTAAATGCTCACTGCTGATGATTCTCATACTAAGACGAAATGGCCGTCTATTGCTTTTAGGTTTCTAATAGTGGTCCAACAATGATTGATTCATGATTTCAATAACACTACAAGACTATTTACACCTTGTTTATGAAAATGAAAATGTTTAAATACTACTTGTTGTCGTATTTGTGTGTTCTGGATAAACTAGGCTAAGATGGCGAAGCCTAAAAACAACTGCTTGAACTGTGTTCGGAATAAGTAAACTTATGCATGATCGAACCCACAGCTATTTATTGACAGGGAAAAATTACTGCATATTACTCTCCCACATTAATTAATTATATAGCTGACCACAGATGCACAGTCTATTTCAACGAAACAGTTTTTTCAGTTGTCATATCAAGCTGAATTTAGTTCTAGAAAGCAGTGTAGAGCTATATCACTTAAGTATGATATCCTTAAGCGATAGTCATACACTAACCAACGAACATGGCTTAAAAGTGAACGCCTAACCTTTAAAATTACTGAATCCAATGGTATATATTTGTATATTCAGTGAATTCGTTAATATTTTTCAATCATTATACAATGCTAGTGATGATTACTATCGGACAAGTCGCATTACGGGACTTTACTTTCAACTGTTTGCACCTATCAAAGTTCTCCATGAGCGATTACCTAACTACTCTTTGTACACAGTAGTTATAGAGATTGTTGACTTCCTAATTTGTATCACAAATTGCCTTTAGTTAGAAAACCAATGAAAATCAATAATTACTGGACAACTTTTTTGTTTTAATATAGTTTCCTATTTTTCACTGGAGTAGAAAGTGAAAATGCGTCATTAGGATGTTTTGTCATTTAGTGTTTTTACCAAGTGCTAGACCTACCGTCGTTGATTTTCATATAAACTTACTTCAATGAGAATAAAAACTACATCTGCATTGAGTTTTTTTATCATTAACATTTCTAATTTCACAGTCTTTAAAATAAGAACGATAATAAATAAAATAGTTTAAAGTTCGTCCCATGGACTGATCTTTGTTAGACGATCATTTCCAACTAGGAAGCACCGGGTATCTTTTTATCTTATTATGGGACTCATAAGCATTGAACAACCAGAGTCCAGGTAGGCTACTGTGATCCCTTGACCAAATTGTACCAGCAAGAAGTCTTGATATAGCGTATAAAGTGTGTTCTACAAACACCCAGCAAGCACACAAATCGCCTTTATTTATACACCATACAGACGTCCTTGCGTGAGTCACAAAATAGCACACGAAAATAACACAGTAACCAATCCCAGACAAGGATTTTTCTAGTGAGAAATGTGATCTCAAGTTCAGCTGATCGGTCCGTGAATGAAATCCAAAATAAAGACATTTATTAAGTGAGTTCTTGGGATCTAACGTATGCAACAGAATCAAACTGTGCACTCTCTTAACTTGTTGAGCCGATGCCTAGAAAATGGCATCGGAAGATAATTATTATACAATATTCCGAATCGACTAAACTCAGAAATATGAACTATCAAATCCCGGTTAAAATGGTCAAAATATATAAGCACCCGATCAGAGCTGATGAAGTCCAATACTAAGATAAAATAACTATCTAACACCTTTTGGTCTACAACAGTTGTCTAACTGATACTGATTGATGGTGTTACCTATGAAAAATCAACTATTTTCACAAACCTTTGCTAACTAATGAATAAGCTACTCAGTCCGATGGGAAAAAAGACTAATGACAAAATGGTTAATTCAATTGATCATTGAGTTTTTAAAAAAAACATGGTTGAATGAATTTTTTGCGTTTCAGTAAATTTTGTCCACTAAGAATTAAATACATAGTAGATATACATGTATTTAGATAAATCCAACTGTATTACGTACTTGATTATTGAATTTTTAATTGTTTTAATTGCATGAACGCATTGAATGAAAAAAACAAAATCGTCACAGAAAATAATTAACTATTTAGAATAAAATATGTTAATTTTCTCTTTTTTCTATTTCGGGTAAACAAAAAACGTATTTTAATCCTAAAATCAATAGTAACTACGCAAAAGGCTAGTGATTATGTATCTAAATATATGGTGGATTGCTGGTTATGATTACTGAATTCCACTGAGACCGAAGACCGATTTAAAATACAAAATTATATAAACCTGAAAGAATTGAACAACAGTATCGTTCAAGTATAGGAATCCTCAGTAATATGTGTTAACAATCCTGCAACTAGGAATCGAACTCTGAATCTTCGGCTTAACCTTCAGACCACGGAACTAGTATCCATTAGTGTACGAGACTAATATAAATAAGGATTCAGTTGCAAAACACCGTGGAAGACTCCAACACTGGGACTGAACGATTGATCAACCCTTTGAGATTTCATATGATTTTCTAACTATATACATGCAAGCGGATATATTCCTTCCCTTCTCTAAACTAAAACACCATCTCGCTTTATAGTTCGATTTCAAAATGTTTGAACTGTGCTGCTAGTCCAACCCAGGACTGGATTTCACTCGTTGAATGTCTTGTATTTAGGTTCTCTGTCTAATCGTTAACAACCGTTATGATGAACAAGATAACTTTCTAGATTTTATTCGGTTCATAATTCGTTCTACAATTTATGTCAGTCTATAAATGATAATGCTTTCAAAATATAGAAATGTTTAAAAAAAATTCATTTTCCTAATATCCTGTTATTAAATCACCATTCCAATGTATTTGTACAATTCATATCATAGATATTCGAATGAACTTTTCAATACGTGCTCAAGTCGTCTTTCAAATCTCTGTAACATGTATTTCATCAAACTAACTAATCTGACCTAGTTTGTAGCTAGTGTATTCATTAATTATAATGTTTATTTTTTGAAAGTTTAGGATTTTTTGTTGGTGGTGAAACCCATAAAGAGTCATGTATCGATTAAAAGTGTCAGTGTCAACATAAAACATTGAGCCAGCAAGAATAGATGAGTTTAAAATTCGAAAAAAAATTCGGTGCTGTGATTACTCTTGGCAGTCACAATTGAAAAGTCGAACAAATCTTGTCATTTATAGTTTATTTTGTCAATATTTTATCAAGTTCGCTAGTTAGTTATTTTTTTGTCTTTAAAAACAGACTTTATCATTTTGATTTCACTGATGAAATATATATTATCCATGGCGCCATATCAATACACAGATTGATTCAAATCAATGTTCAAATGTTTACTGATAACTGATGGAGAAAAAACGATATATAATGCACACACCAGTCTACAAATTGATAATAATAATAATAAAAACAGCCAAAAACAATGACAATCTATTTTGAA